ATATGTACCACATCTTTCTAATCCAGTCATCTACTTTTGGGCATTTGGGCTGCTTCCATGTTTTTCCAATTGTAAATAAAGCAGCAATCAACATGGGGGTGCAGGTATCTTTTTCAATCAGTGTTTTTGTGTCTTTTGGGTACAACTGAATTTTAAGCGCGGGGTGAGGCCCCATAGACAGGCGGCCCAGTTCACACTGGGCGCCCCGAAGCAGGACCAGTGCGGAGTGGGGGGCAGTGGTGCCGTGCGGGTCCCTGTGAAGTTCCCAGGCGCAGCAGTGCCTGCTGGCGCTGACCCCCGCGAGCCCTGGAGGAAGCTGTGCTGCACCTCAGGGTTCCCCGGGGCTGAGGCACTCGAGCAGACTCAGACCTGACCCAGCCTCAAGCCCAGCCAGGTCCAGGCTGGACCCGCCGGAGCCACGGCCGTGAGCTGCTGACCTCCGAGGAGCCTGCTGTGCAGCGCAGCTGACACCCAGCCCCCGCCCTCTCCCCACCTCCCCGTGACCTGCTCCAGGTCTGGGGTAGCCCCAGCTCACCTGCAGGCACCAGCTCGAAACGGGGCCTCCCTTCTTCGGAGGACGTCAGCGTGGCCAGCTTCCCTTCTATCATCTCCCCGTCGATGAACTTTCCGTAGAGCGCCGTCCTCTCGTCGGGGTACACGTAGGCGATCTTCTCCCCGGTCATCTCCCCATCTTCATTCACGTCGCCCACCAGGCTGCCGCCGTCCTGATGGGGAAACCAGAACCAGGACGTGTCAGCTCTGACATTCTCTGCATGACTCGGGCTCCCACAGCCTGTGCCCTGCCCCGGTGAAGAGCGATGGTGTGGACCGCGGCGATCCAAGAGCGCTGACCTCCCCCCAGTGAGAGAAGCACAGCAGCACCCCGCCACGGGGCGCTGAGAAGCCGCAGCGCAGGCGGGTGGGGAAGTCGGAGACGGGCCGCTGCGGGCTCCGATGCTCTCGGTTTGTCACCGGGCAGCGCTGAACCCTAGGCCAGTGCTGCCCGTGAGAGGCCCTCTGGGAAGCGCCGCTACGTCAGCCCAGGCCAAGAGCAGGGGCCCCCCCAGCCCCCCACCCGCAACCAGGCTCACCCGCCTTCATGCCTCTCCCTGCTCAGCGCTGGCTCCCTGCTCCACCAAGGAAACCTCTGGGCCCGGTGGGTTACGGCGCAGCACGGTGAGGCTCTGTGCAGCCGCTGCAGCCTGAGCTCGATCCCCAGCCAGGGAGTGACCCCGCGGCACAGCAGCCCTCTCCTGGCTCCCCACCGCGCCCCTGTTCTGCCTGTTCTGCTCCCCACTCTGTCTCTGGGGAATCCTCTCACCGCCCCAACCTCTGGCCTGTACCCCAGCTCTTGTATGTATAAATAAATATTTTTTAAAAATAAGGAGAACCTCTGGTCCAAATGCACCAAAGAGCTGTATGCACGGGCCGTCTCCTGAGAGACAGACGACGGGGCTCGGGGATGCCGCCCTGCATCCTGTCCCACACCCGTCAGGAGCCAGAGGCCAGCTGAGGTAGACGGCTGTCTCTACTCCCCCGGGCCCCGGGCCCACTGCTCCGCTGAGCGCTCCCTCGGCCTCTCCCTGGCTGCGGTGACCGCCACCAGGCAGCTATTCCCAACGGGCCTCAGGCCCATAGAGCCCCAGTGCCAGCTAATTCTGCATCCTGAGAATTGCTGGGGCATGGCAGCTGGTCCATAAACAAGTTCTGAACTGAGCTGGGTCGCCCCAAACAATCAAATAAATGGTCAAAAGCCATGTAATCTAGGGTTTGAGAAATGTCTGCTTTCCTGTCTCTTCTTCTGTAGAGAAGGTGCCTACGGTGCAGCTTGCAAACCGAAGGCCACTGTGGACGTGAGGACAGGGTCCTCCGTGAGCCCAGCGGGCCTGACGCTGCCCCAGCTCCACCTCCAGAGACAGCTGCTCAAAGTCCGCGAGGTGGGACGGCTCCTGAGTGACCCAGCTGCTGCTTCCAGAGAGACGGGCCTTGCAGTTCTCTGGAGTCTAATTGCTTTTTGGAACACGAAGGTTATCAATTGAAAAAGGAATCACAGCGCTTCCATAGAAAGAGAAATGCTTGGAAGCATTTCTTCTTCCGGGCTAGAAAGTGCATTAGGGGTGCATTTACTGCTCTTTCTCCTCCCCTAGTTCATCCTTAATAGCTCGGCATAACCGGGGATGCTACTCTGGAGTCTGCCTGCCGCCTGCCACCTGCCGCCTCCGTGGTCGCCGAAGAGCTGGAGAGCTGCTGACGTGCTGTGACAGACACAAGCCAGACCACTGCCACGCGTTTACAGCAGAATGCTGTCTTTTAGGGCCTCACACTGCCCTCCGTAAGTGCCTTAAACATTTGGCTTGGAGGAGGGAATTTATTTGCAGAGATGGGTAGAGCCGAGCACTTTCTTCATTCCAAACGGAGTTATGAATATTTAATCAAAAACTTTTCACCACTTTTCCAAGGTCACATTTTGAAAGAAGCAGACTGCTCTTAGGGGGAGCGGATTAAGACTCTGGACGAGTCACTCTTCTCCTGAGTTCCAGCCCCAAGTTTGAAACCTCGGGGTGGGGGTCTGACCGGTGGCAGGAGGAAGCAGCTACTCTGCTCCAGGCTCCCCCTGGAGGCTGGAGACACCCTCACTCTGCGACGCCCGCCCAGCCCCTGGCTAGCCCCTGAGTGCGTGCTCCGGGTCCTGCAGGTCTTCAGGTGGTGAGCGGCCAGGGCTCCCCTCTCCAGTCTGGTCCTGGGCGTCAGCAGCCCTCCCCTTGGGGCCTGCAGCGTCTCTGGACGGTTCAGAGCAGTAGATGCTTGGCTTTGGGGCCACACCCCAGGGCCCCTCAGCACCCCGCAATAAGCCAGCACCTGGATCTATTTTTTCACTGCCGCAGATCCAGAAGGCCAAGGGGTGTGACCAGCTCCGCCCACGTGCCCCAGCGCTGTAGGTGAAGCCGGCCTGTCTCCTAGTGAACTGGAAAGTGCACAGCTTCTCTGCACTTAAATATGTCATGGCCTCGGAAGGCCGAACATCAAATTGCAGCTACCTGGCCTACCTACCTGGGCCTACCTACCTGGGCCTACCTTGCTGCACCTCTGGCCCCACCAAGGGCTGCAGCTCAGCAATCACCAGAGCAGGGCTAGGGGCAACAGGGAAGCCACACTCCCTCTCCCCACCACCTGGACCCTTCCAAGGAAGCTCTGCGTCCTGAGCCCCTGCCTGGCGGCTCTCCCGGTGGTGCTAAAGACCTTTCACCTTGGAGACCCCACCCGGCGCCAGGTGAATGCGTTGGCAATACTTCAAGTGTTTTGCAGTGTCCTCTTCATCTACCTTCCTGGAGACCGGCTTGCTCTTTGAAGAGCAATCGTGCGGGCCTAGGTCTAGCTGAGGCGGCTTTTCTTGTTGCAGGTGTAATTGGTGGTTTGCTTTTATTAATATTTTTTAATGGTAACAAGATAGGGTTGGAGGAACAAAGACATGTGTTCTGACTCAAATTCTGGACAAAATTAGAAATGTTCTAAGTCTGTTGTCTGAAACGTTTTCTGAAAACCTACTAACAACAAATGAAAGCAAAAACTGGGGCCTTTAAGTCCTACCCAGGACTCCGCCACCTTTTTGCTCTAATAAACTCAATTGCTATCAAATACTCAAAATCAGGTTAGTTATGGTCACCTTCATGTAAGCAATAAAATAGCCACAACAGGCCTTTAGAAAGTAGGGACAGGCTTGGAAAATCTGGATTTACTCTCACCTATGCGACACAATAAATTCAACCCCCACAGCAGAGAGGCCATCCTTTCCAGGCACAGAGGGAGGCTTTTAAAAAGCAACGAACACACCTTTGTGCTGACCAGTGGCCCTCCTGGTCAGTTTTGCTCCAGTTCGGTTTCCAAGCAAAACAACGCGGAGAACGAATCCTCGGGGAGCCCCCGCCCGGCCGCGCACCCTGGGGCCCGGCTTCGCTCCCGGGGCTTCAGCGCCCTAACGCCGCGACGGCGGCCGAGCAGCGCTGGGCGCGCGCACGCGGGGCCTACCGGGAAGTAGGTCCAGCACACGCCGTGCCGGATGTTGTCCTTGTACTGGCCCTTGAAGATCACGCGGCCGTCCGGGTCGAACTCCTGCGCCGGGCCGTTCAGCTCTCCGTCCACGTAGGTGCCCTGCAGCACCCCGCCGTCCTCGTAGGTGTACACGCCCTGGCCCTGCAGGGCGTCGTCCACGTAGAACCCCTCCAGGGTGCTGCCGGGAGGGGGACAGAGAGCACAGTCAGCCCCGAGGCCGCCCCGGCCGCCTGTCTCGCCCCGACTGCGGGGCGGGGCTGGGGGGGGGAGAGGAGATACCGGGAAGACCCCGGAAGGAGGGGAGAGGAAGGTCCTTTTTTCAGATTTATGTACTGGGGTACAGGCCAGCGGTGGGAGTCGCCAGAGACAGCGGGGAGCAGAACAGGAGGATCCACTGAAACACACTGCTGGGGGGGCAGTGGGGAGACTGGCGGGGTCTGCTGCGCCCTGGGGGTCACCTCCGGGCTGGGGTTCGAACTCGTGCTGCGCAGGCTTCGCGGCGCTGCGCTTTGACCCCTGTGCCACGAGGGGGCGCCCGAGAGCGGAAGATTTAGCGCCCAAGCCGCAGGTCCCTTTTCTACAGGAGGGAGCAGCGGGCAGGGCCCAGGTGGAAAGTGGGCGCCCGCCTCAGCTCAGCATTCCCAGGCGGAGCCCCCACCC